AGTGAAACCTAACTCTATTTTTTTTATTTGACATGGTTGCAAATAAAGAAAAAAAAATTAAAAAAATTATAGTTATGTGAAAAACATATTGGATGCTAATGTAAGAGTCTCTAAATATGTGTGTATACATTTAATTTAAATTTAAAATTTCCTTTATAATATTATTTATTTTATTATTTTATTATTATTTTTAAATTTTATATAATTTCTTTATCTTTAATATTTTTAAAAATAATAATAGAATTTGGAAATTTTTAAATTTCAATGTTGAGGTGGACCAATAAAAAGTTTATACAGAATTTATTTATTTAGAAATATTATTAGAATTTGTAATCTTTAAAATAATTATTATTTATTATTTAAAATTATTATTATTTAAAATTATTATTTTAGTTTAAATTTAAAATTATTATTATTTATTTTAGTTTTTTATTATTTATATAAATTTATATAAAATTTATTTATCTTTAATAAATTTTAAAAATAATAATAGAATTTGAAAATTTTTTAGTTTTTAATATTGAGGTGGACCAATAAAAAACTTATACAGAATTTTTTTATTCAGCAATAATATTAGAATTTGTAAATTTTCTTAATTTCTTTATTCAGTAATAATCTTAGAAATTGTAAATTTTCCTTAATCATCTTGAATGTTGATGTAGATCAATAAAATTATTTTTAAAATCATATGTGGACACTTTAAAAAGCATTTAGCTTCAACTTTTATTAGTATAATGTTGAGAAATCTTGATCTAGCTCAGCTCATACACCGATTCCACTGAACAACACGATATCAGAGATTTTCGTTTGCAAGATACACGAACAGAGCAATTTGCAGAAAGTAAATGAGACGAGATATTTATCCAGTTCGGGAGCAAACCGCTTCCCTACGTCTGGCCGAGGATTCCTCGGAATTCACTAGAACACTCCCCTTACAATCGTCGTCTCTCACCGGAAAACTATGAGATGTAGCTTTCACTCACCGGTAATTACACTCTCTCTCTAGTTCTCCCTTTCTCTCTCCTCACAATACAAAAGATTCACTCTCTCGAATACAGTTGTTTGTTACAACTTATTTCCAGTCTCTAACCGACTCTTATCCACATCGGAATCCAAAACTGAAACACAGATACGCCTGCGCGTGATCTTCACGCTCTAGCGGTCTGATATTCACTGAGCTGGAAATAGAGTTTTGAGCAGAACGACGACGTGTAACACCGAACCAACTTAAACCCGAGAATCGATAACCTGATCTTGAGCCGGTTCAAATCTAAGCCCCTAAACCGGAAGCTTCTGTTCCATTTAGTGTGTTATATCAACCAATATACAACAAACTCCACCTTGGTTAATATAGCAGCACTGGAACCAAGTTCTAGTAATCCCGACCTCGGTATTCTTCTCTCTGATCAGCTATCAGAGACGCCGAGCAAGCTCAGCTACTGCTTGAACCTAACCACCGGAAAAATCTTTGTGAAGACATCTGCAGGATTTTCACTTGTGTGAACTTTTGAAACCTGCAATGTTTCTTCTTCAACTCTTTCCCGAATAAAGCTAAGCTTTACTGCCATATGTTTGGTTCTCTCGTGATGAACATTGTTTCTGGCCAATGCCAAAGGACTCTGTGAATCACAAAATACCTCTACCTTGTCCTGTGGATACCCAAACTCACCGCTTAGTCCTCTTAACCACACAGCCTCCTTAGCTGCCTCAGTCATCACGACATATTCAGATTCTGTGGTCGAAAGTGCCACCACCTTCTGTAGACTCGACCTCCAACTGATGACACAACCCCCTGACACAAATGCATACCCTGAGATTGACCGACGCCTGTCTAAATCTGCAGCATAGTCTGAGTCACAAAACCCATAAATCTTGAACTCTGAACATTTCCTGTATACCAAACTCGTCTTCTTTGACCCTTTGATATATCTCAGCACCCATTTCACCGTATTCCAATGCACCTTTGCCGGATTACTTATAAAACAGCTTACCAAACCCACTGGATACCATACATTATACTCCCGACTGCATTACAATACGGAACTGACCTCATATAGATCTCGTCTGCTTTCAGCTCTTTCTCAGTGGCTGAAGCAAGCTTGAAATGTGCTCCCATCGGAGTATTAACTCCTTTTGCCTGGTCCATGTTATAGCTCTTAAGAACCTTGTCCACATACCCTTCTTGAGATAGCTTCAGAGTTCCCTGTTTCCGATCTCTGATGATATCAATGCCTAGGATTTTCCTTGCTGCTCTAAGGTCCTTCATGTCAAACCTTGAGCTCAACTGTTTCTTAAGAGCCTTTATCATGTCCATATCCTTACTGGCAATCAACATATCGTCCACATAAAGTAGAAGATACAAGTAAGTACCTGAAGTGCACTTTATGTAAACGCATTGATCATGATTGCTTCTTTTAAAATCAATCTCCACCATGAACGCATTAAACTTCTGATTCCATTGTCTGGGACTTTGCTTCAACCCATACAATGATTTCTTCAACAGACACATGAATCCCTCCTTGCCTTTAACCTCATATCCTTCAGGTTGATCCATGAAGATCTCTTCCTCCAAATCTCCGTGCAGGAACGCTGTCTTGACATCTAGCTGTTCGAGCTCCATGTCTTCGTTCAGCACTATAGACATCAAGTATCTTATAGATACATGTTTAACAACCGGAGAAAAGATCTCATTATAATCCACTCCCTCCTTTTGAGCATACCCTTTGGCAATAAGCCTCGCTTTGTACCTAGGTTCCTCAACTCCCGGAATGCCTGGCTTCCTCTTAAAGATCCATCTACAACCGATAATTTTCCTGCCTTTGGGCTTTGGAACCAAACTCCATGTAAAGTTTTTAGCGAGTGAGTCCATCTCTTCATCGGAGGCAAGTTTCCACCGTTTATGATCAGGAGCCCTCATTGCAGCCTTGAAGTCTGTAGGTTTGACTGGATCACCATCTTCAGATGCGAGTAAAGCCATATGAACAAAATCATCACTATCATATCTTTGAGGTGGCTTGATGTTCTCCCTTCTTTGTCTGTCTTGAGCCAGTCTATAACCGTCAGTTTCTGGCTCCGGTTCAGTTTCACTTTCTGATACTTCATCCTCACTGTCAAGAACTACAGCATCTCGAGCAGAATCACTTCCACTTGGCTGATTCTCACCCTGAATATCTCCACCTGAACTAGTATCCCTTTGTTGAGAGATACCAAGTTCAACATCTAGAAAAGCAATGTCTCTTTCCTTTGGTGTATCAATCTTCAACAAATGATACATCGTTTATCCTCCAAGGACCAAACCTTATACCCTTTAACACTGTTGATATGTAAATATCGACAAGGGACAAAACAGTACTTTAGATCAGAAACTCGGTTTTTATTAGATCGAATCAAGCAAATACAACTGACTTCGGTTATTTAGATGGACAATAACGAACTAAGACTTAATGCAACTAAGAGTCTAGCGTAATGAGTTCTCAGTCTCTAAGTCTTCTCGGGAATATTTTCTGTTCTCTGGTGTCGATTCGTCTCCCTTTATATATATCCTCTAAGTCGGTCTTCAAGCACATCTTAAGCGATATGGGACCGAGAGAACTTTCCTTTTCTCTCGGTTCCTTTCCTTTTCTCATGTTTGTTTCCTTTTTCAAATAGGAAGCTTTCCTATTCCTGACCGAACTCGGGGAGCTTCTCCGTTCCTTCGAGAAGCTTCTCACCGACCTGGGCTTAATGGGCTGTATTCGGCCCAAGACTTCACTCGGCCCAGTCTTCCCGGTATATTCCTTCGTAAACCGGGCTTACATTTCGCCGATCTCGGTTTGTACCGGAGAAAACCGGAGTGCGGGTTTCACCTCCAACAGTTAGCCCCCCCCTCAGTTCGATGAAAGGGAATGACTTTTTAGTCGAACTCATTTGATTTAAGGTAGGTCACAAACCGAGCTCGGTAACCGCAGTCGATTCGCATTCCCGGACGTTTCGCACCCTGTCTTCATTGAGGCGCGTGAATTCTGGGATTTCGCGAAAATCGAGGAACCCACGATCCCCACTGTTTATAAGATAACAACTTCTTCTCGCATTCATTATTCTCGTTCAAGCCTATATAAGGTACGCTGCTCTCCCTTCTCTCTAGATTTTGCTTCTCTCTCTAGTTTTCATTTGTAGTTCTCTCTCGTTTTTTCAACTCTCGCCGCCGCGATTTCTTGAGTTTTCCGATCGACCTTCAAACTTTCCGATCGATCTTCAACCTTTCTGATCGATCTTCAAGTTCTCCGATCAATCTTCAACCTTTTTCCGATCGATCTTCAAGTTGTTCTTAACTTTTCCCAGATCTTCTTTTGACTCCATTTCTCCGAACTCAACATGTCTTCGAACTTTTCTTCAATCAATTCTTCCTCTAATCAGATCCTTCCAGTGGATCGCCGCGAGCCTTCGGAGCCGAGCTCTTCTTCTTCACATCCTCGTTCGTCTGACTCTTCTCGGGGAGAAAGTAATCCCCCCCAGTTAGTTCGTAAGAACTCTAAATCGGTGGATGCGAGTAGCAGCCGTGCTAGGGTTCGAGTTGAAGCTACCGAGCAACTGGCGACAAAAACTCGCGAGACGGAGGCTCGAGCTGGGCCGAACTCTGGTGGTATTGACCACGAGATCGAGGAGGTCGAAGAACGTGAAGGAGAAAATCAGGAAGAGAGCGCTACTGAGGCAGAAGCTGCCGAGGATAACCTCGATGATGTGATTCACGCTTCACCACCACTTCCAAGGCGCAAAGTTGTTCGCCCCAGCAACGTGCCATCTTCCTCTGTCTCTCTGGGTGCTGTTCGTGCCGTGCTCGAAGAAAACGGACTCCTGGACCGAGTCATCTTCATATTCCAGAAGCCGGACGGCCGTGGGACGTCCCCGCGGGTTTCCTCTGCGTTTACCTGACGTACTTTACGCAGTGCGGACTCTCTTTCCCAATTCCTTCTCGCCTGCTCGGCTACTGCAATCGTCGTGGCGTTGCTCTCACGCAGGTGATGCCGGCTTCGATAACGAACTACGTAGGGTTCGTATCTCTTTGCGACGAGCTCGGCGAGATCCCAACCAGTCGGCTTTTCGAGGACCTCTTCTCGGTTAACATCCACAAATCCAAGGAGTGGTTCTTCGCTGCGAATGCTAAGCCGAAGAAGAATATAGTCACTGGGCCTAAACCCAGTAAATTCAACGACTGGGAATCCCTATACTTCTTCCTTGAGATGAACAATCTCACAGTCAGTAACTCTGATATCCCGACTCAATCGGAGTGGAAGATTCCGATCGGTAGATCTAGACGAGCTCGTACTTTGTTATCCCTTGGTTTTATTTCTTACTAACTTTCTGTCGATTTAATTTTGCAGGTCGTCATCTCCCAAGTCTTCTTCTCAATTTCGGGCTTACTTCTGAGTTCGAAGAAGCCTTCAGTGAAGCCGGTAAGCGTCGTTGGCCTGAAGTTTGGGAAGAAATCCTTCAGCGCCGAGCTAAGAAAGCAGGTTCGATTATTGAATTCAGTTTTACTTGTTTTATTCTGAATTTACTCTGAATTCCTCCTTGACATATTTTCATTGCAGGTTCTGTCCGAGAACTAAAACCGCGAAAGCCAAAAGCTCGAGCTAGCAAGCCTCGAGCCGCTCTCAGACGTAAAGCACCGAAGTCGCGAGCTCAACGTACCCGAGCTGCTAGGATGCTCTCTCTAGACGAGTTCCCCACTCTCTTTGATGAAGAGGAGCCAAACATTGCAGAACCGACTCCCATCCCTGCTACCGAAGGGACCAATGAGCAGCCTCAAGAATTGCCGGCCGCTGCGAACTCACCTGACCAAGCTGGTCAGAAGAAGTTGAAGAAGAAGAAGTCCTCGAAGAAGAGTAAGAGGACTGAAGACTCCTCTCGGGCGCAGGACGCGCCTGCCGAGCTCCAGCCGCCAACAGCTGTGGTGTCAGACCTTGCTCTATCTCAGGATCGAGCTGAGGCTTCTCATTCTCGGAAGAGACAGGCCAGAGAACACGCCAAAGGTTCTCCAGAGCCCGAGCCGGCTAAAAGGGCTAGAGTCTCTTTTGACTACGATGAAGAGACTCCTTTCAAGGAGAACGTCGACGCCTGCGCCGAGCTCTACCATAAGATCTCTTCTCAGGTCCCGAGCCTCCCGTCGGTCCCCGAGCTTCGGTTCCCTAACATGTACAAGGGAATCGCACGTACAACTGCTGTGGTAATCTTCTTACTTAATTTTTTTATAGACTTGAATTTTTTTTACGAGTTCTAATTCTTGCTTCCTCTATGCAGCTCGCCAGTCAGACCAATAACTTGGTCGCCGCGTACGAGGTAGCTCTGTTCGATGAGCAAGTTAGGGTCACCGAGCTTGAGGAACGAATAGCCAAAGCAGAGGAGCGTCTCGCCACCGAGCTCCAGATCAATGATACTCTGCACTCTTCGGTTGACCTGCTGAAACAAGAGAGTGCGGAGTTGAAAGCGGTGAAGGCCGAGCTCACTGAGGCTCAGAGCATGCTTGCGAAGGAGTTCGAGAAAGACCGAGAGCGGCTGCGGGACTTGGTGTCCTACTGGAAGGGTCGAGCCAAAAGCGTTCACGCACAAGCCTGTGAGCGTCTAGAAAAGGTCATCCGAAGCTTGGATGACGCTGATCGGGCTCGTAAGCCGTACCTGGTGGTTAATCAACTCACCGGAGTCCTCGGGTTCATCAAGCAGCTCAAGAAGAAGGGCTTGTACGAGGTTCCACCCGAGATGGTAGCGGACATCGAGGCGAAGCACACCAAGGCTCTGGAAGAGTTCTGTTCGATCGATGCCCGCGTTCTTACGGAGGAAGACAAGCGGATGTCTCCGTTCGCGGACGATGATGATATTCCGGCCGTGAATGTGACCCAAAGCGCGCAAGATCCTGCGAGGGGCGAACAGTTTGGTTCGAACGAGGATATACTCAACGCCGATCAAGCCGCAACCTCGAAGACCGCTTAATCTTTTTCTGTTCTTTCTTATTCTCGAACTCATTTGCCCTTTCATGGGTTATGTTGCTTGTAATACTTTATTTCCGAGCCCTTGGTGGGTTTTTGAACTTATTTGCCTCTCGGGAGGCTTTTAATTTATATGCTCGTTTCTCTTCTTTTTTCTTATCTTGATGATTTAGAAGAATCTTTTAAGTAGTAGATCGGCATCTAACTTGAATTTTGACTTTATTTTCGTCGGTAACTTAGAAAAATCTTTCAAGTACTAGATCGGTACACAGTAGATGATGTTCGAACATAATTTTTATCTTTTGATAGCGAATTGCGATAATTCGGCTTACGTTTTGCGAGTGTTGTGAACTCGGCTTATGGTGCGAATCTGAGGAGTTCGGCTTATTGTGCGAGCATTTAAACTCGGCCTGGGGAACCCAAGTGAATCGTTTCGTACTGGAAGAGTGAATTAATTCGAACTCCTGTAAACACACGAAACGAGTTCAAGGTTTTTCTAAGTCGAACCTAAGTATGCGAGATGTGCTCGGCTTATTGTTCTTGGTGACTTAGAAATTTAACTGCAGGACTGGGCCCAGCTTTTAACATGTGGTTTTACCACGGCACCATGTGTGTGCTCGTGAGACGGATCTCGGCTTTTAAGTTTGCATTCATGTGGAATGCTATCGAACAACTGGCCAGGAAGTCGATGTAAGAACAAGGAGTTCGGTACCTTGTGATTTCTGAACTAGAACTTAGACAGATTTGACATAATAAAATTTTATTGATGTTATAGCTGGACTCGGTAACGAGCTGCCTACGTACCCTTTAAAGGGATCAAGCCATTCGTAGTTCTAAGTACAAAAATGTTTTTTGCTCCGACTAAGTAGTTCGGAGGCTTTTTTTTTTGTTTTTTTTTTTGAAGCTCGCAACGAACTAGTAGTAGTATCGTTTGAGATGCATTGAGTTCCAAGATCGCGGGATCGGAGTTCCGTCTAACTTCATGAGTTGATAAACGCCGGGCTTAACAACCTTCATAACCTGGTATGGTCCTTCCCAGTTCGCGCCAAGTTTTCCTGCGTTTTTTTCTTCTGTGTTTTGATAGACTTTGCGAAGTACGAGATCGCCATCTTCAAAGTGACGACCCTTAACTTTTTTGTTGTAGTAGCGAGCTGCAAGTTGCTGGTAGTTCTGTATCCGGAGCAATGTTCGTTTGCGATGTTCTTCGACTAAGTCGAGTGCGTCGATCATCATGTTGTCATTCGCGTCGGGTTGCTGAAAAAGCATAGTTCGGCGAATACTTGGGACGTTGAGTTCGGCTGGACACATAACTTCTGTGCCATATGCAAGGAAGAATGGTGACTGACCGGTCGAACGTCGTGGTGTAGTTCGGTGAGACCACAAGACGCCGTCAAGTTTGTCCGCCCAAGTTCCCTTAGCGGTATCGAGTCGTTTCTTCAGTCCGTCAATGATGGTCTTGTTTGTGGCTTCGGCTTGTCCGTTTCCTTGCGGGTATCGCGGGGTAGAGAAACTTAGTCAGATCTTCCACTTGGCACAAAAATCTGTGAAAATGATCGAAGTGAAATGGGTTCCGTTGTCCGTAACGATCTCGTACGGGACTCCGTGTCGGCAGATGATGAACTTCCAGACGAACTTCTTGACATCGATTCCATGAATCTTGGGGTATGCTTCGGCTTCGACCCATTTGGTGAAGTAATCCGTGACGACCAGAACATATTGCTTCTGAGTTGTAGATCGGCGAAAAGGACCGATGATGTCCATTGCCCAGCGCATGAAAGGATATGGTGCGGTAGACGTCATCAAGAGCTCGGTGGGAAGATTGATCATCGGGCCGTGACGTTGGCACTTCTCGCAGCGTGCTGTATACTTTTCGCAGTCAGAAAGCATAGTAGGCCAGTAATAGCCGGCTTTTTTGATCTTGAACGCCAAAGACCGAGCTCCGGAGTGATATCCTCCGTCTCTTTCAAGAACCTTCTGCATTACTTCCATGATGTCGTTGCCATGAACGCAAGTCAAGAGTACACCAGAAGCGTCCCATCTGAGAAGAGTACCTTTAATAACCACATATCGAGCTGCGCGAGCTTTAAGGCGCCGAGCTGCCCATTTATCTGCAGGAACTGTTCCGTCTCCGATGTATCCCACGATTTCTAAGGTCCAATCCTCAGGTTTGTCCTCTCCTTCTGCTTCGATATCGATTGGAACATGCTGGCCTTCGGATTCGTCTTTGGGATCGGATTCGTTATCATTGAGCTCGTCCGTGTCGTTGTTGGGATCGGAAACGATCTCTTTGGGTTTCGTCTTCCGGGTGAGGGGTGGAGCGAGATTGGGTTGGGCTTCGTAATCACGTCGTCTTGTAATGATGTTGGAGTTCGGAGCGGGCTCGATACTTGGTCGCTCGATTGCTGCAATTGGGATAGTTTGCCGAAGGTCAGGATCAGAATTAGTAGCGAGAACGGCTAAGGTGTCGGCAGTTGCATTCTCATCTCGAGGTATCTTTGTAAGCTCGAAGGTAGAGAACTCCGAAGCAACATCCTTAAGGACTTTGAGATATGCGTCCATGCGGTCGTTCTTGGCCTCGTATTCGCCGTGAAACTGGTTAGCCATGAGTTGAGAGTCGCAGTAGGCGTGTATGTGCTCGGCGCCGATACCTTTGGCAAGTCGTAGTCCGGCAATCAATGCTTCGTACTCGGCTTCGTTGTTGGACGCCGGGAAGCCTAGTCGAAATGACTGCTCGATAACTTCTCCTTCAGGTGATTTGAGACGAATTCCGACTCCGGATCCTTTATGGGACGAGGAACCGTCGGCGTGAAGGATCCAGGGTTGTATGACTGGATTAGCTTCGACGAGCTCCGGTGGGAGTTCAACCAAGAAATCTGCTAGGACTTGAGACTTCGTTGCAGTTCTTCCTCGGTATTCGATATCGTATTCACTGAGTTCGATGGCCCACTTGGCGAGTCGTCCGGACTGACTTGGGCTATGGAGGAAAGTTCGAAGAGGGTGATCGGTTAGGACCACGATCGCATGAGATTGGAAATACGGGCGTAATTTCCTTGCAGAAATAACCACGGCAAAGGCGAATTTCTCCAAAGTCGGATAACGATACTCCGATCCATCGAGGGATTTGCTTGTGTAGAAAATTGGCTTCTGCTCGCCACGATCTTCTCGAACAAGTACACTACTGACTGCGAACTCCGAAATCGCGATATAAAGATAGAGTGTCTCGCCGGTTTCAGGTTTAGATAAGACTGGCGGAGTGGACAAGTATTTCTTTAGCTCGGCGAAGGCTTCTTCACACTTCTCATTCCATTCGAGATGCTTGTTACCGCGAAGAAGTTGGTAGAAAGGCAAGCACTTGTCCGTCGATCTGGATATGAATCGATTAAGTGCTGCGATACGTCCGGTGAGTCGCTGAACTTTGCGTTTGGTTGTCGGCGATGGGAGCTCGAGAATAGCTGCGATCTGTTTTGGATTAGCTTCAATGCCTCGCTGTGTAACGATGTATCCGAAGAACTCTCCAGATGTCACGCCGAACGTACACTTAGTGGGATTAAGCTTCATACCATACTGATCCAAAATATCGAAGCATGTGCAAAGATGGCCGACTGATCGGAAGCGACGAGTGACTTCACGAGCATATCATCGAAGTAAACTTCCATAGTTCGCCCGAGCTGGCTCGCGAAAATCCGATTTACCAGTCGCTGGTACGTTGCTCCAGCGTTCTTCAGGCCGAAGGGCATGACCTTGTAGCAGTAGATGCCGCGGTCCGTGATGAACGACGTCTTCTCCTGATCTTGCGGATGCATAAGAATCTGATTGTACCCGGAGAATGCGTCCATAAACGAGAGTAGTTCGTTTCCGGCAGTTGCTTCCACTAGACGGTCAATATGAGGCAAAGGAAAGCTATCTTTCGGACATGCCTTATTGAGGTCGGTAAAGTCGACGCAAATCCTCTATTTACCATTCTTCTTCTTTACGACCACGGGGTTTGCTAACCAATCAGGGTACTTTACTTCGGTGATGGATCCTGCTTTGAGCAAGCGCTCAACTTCGTCGTTGACAGCCTGTGCTTTCTCCGGTCCGAGCTTTCGGCATTTCTGCTTGATTGGCTTATACGTCGGATCGATGTTGAGTTCGATCTGTGGATCGATCCCGGGCATATCCTCTACCGACCAAGCGAAAGTTGACGAGTGTTGTTTCAGAAAGTGGACGAGTGGCTCGCGGATGTTCGGGTCGAGTTCGGCACCTATCCCGACTTGACGCTCTGGCCTTAGTTCATCGATGGAGACTTGAACGATCAATTCCTACTTAGGCTTTGTCTTCTGAACGACGAGCTCGTTCGTTGGTCCTAACGAACTGACGACACATGCTTGGTTGGCCGAATGTAGTTTGCATTCGTTTATGTAGCACGATCGAGCGATGGCTTAGTTTCCTCGGAGGAGTCGGAAACTTCAGGCATTGATGGTATGTTGAGGCGACCGCCTTCATTGCGTGTAGCCAAGGCGTACCGAGAATAGCGTTGTAGATCGCCGGTTTGTCGAGGATAAGGAACTGGATAATCTTTGCGACTCCGCCGAGGTTGATCGGAATATTGACCATGCCGACCGTCATACAACGTTCTCCATCGAAACCGGTGAGTGGCTCGATAAACGGCTCAATCCTATCTGATGCCAACTCGAGCTGGTCAAGTGCTTCCTTGAAGATAATGTTAACCGAACTACCTGTATCGACCAGAATGTGGCTAACTTCGACATCGTCGAGGAGTAGCTCGACAACGAGAGCATCGTTATGCGGTTTATGCAACCCGATCGTGTCGGCTTCGGTAAATACCAAAGGCGTCCCTTTCGGCGGATCTTGTGGGGCTTTGGGTGCGCTAGCGGCTTGTCGACTGTATTCTTTGATAGCTCGAACCGAGTAGCTGCAAGCTTCAATGGCTCCCATTATCATGTTGACATGTTTCCTTGCCTTGGGAGCATAATTTTCTGGTGCTCGGTCATCACGATTGCGTTTTTGTTGCTCAGGCAAAACAGGCGGGTTCGGTGGTGGTGGTGGTAACGTCGGCAAAGCTGGTGGAGTTGGCGGATCTTTGGCGAGTGCTTTCTCAAGCTGTTCGTTGTTTGGTCGAGGCATGTGTGAACGACGGAGATCGTCAATCGAGAGTTACCCGCGGCTCTTAGATGCGTTCGAGCGTCGGAGGTCGTCGACCGAGATCGATTCCTTTCGATATAGGCCGAGTGGGTATTCTCGCAGATGTTTGCATTCTTCGGTGCTGTGACCCCTACGGTTATGGAATTCGCAGAACAATGACTCGTCTTGATCTTCTTCAACGGACCCATTTATTGTTCCACTGTTTGTTTGGTTGTTGGATTGCATTAGCATAGAACTTTTTACGATTCTCATATCCTCGACCGTATCCTGACTGCGGCTCATTAGTCGCGGTTTTCGGACGTTCGGGTTGCTTCTTCGAATAACTGTGCTCGTAAGCGGCTTCTTCTTCCTCTTTAGCGATGTAAGTATTAGCTCGGTGCAGCGCGTCTTCTAATGTCTGTGGATGGTTATGCGTGATCGCGCTCCGGAAGCTAGTCTTTATCCAAGCTCCTTTCTGAAGGCATAAGAGAGGAGTTCATCGCTAATCGTACAATTAGCGACGATCGTCTTGAAGCGCTGGATGAAATCACGAAGGCTCTCGCTTGGTCCTTGGGCTATTTGCCAGAGCTCGGAGTTCTTGGTGTTCTGTCCAATGAACATGGAGAAGTGTTTGACGAAAGCCGTCGTTAACTCCTTGTAGTTATCGATCGAATTGGCTTCGAGTCGCGAGAACCAGTCGAGGGCTACTCCTCCCAAACTTTCCACAAATAGTTGGCACTGAACTGCGTCTCTTTCTTCGGCAGATTTGAACTGGTATCGGTTCATGTAGATGCCAAACGATGTCAAGAAGTGTTGGGGGTCAGTATTGCCTTCGTAGACTTTTATATTCAGTTTCTCCATGTGTTTGACCGGCGTCCCTGCTACGCGCGGTATGAAGGGTGTCTTCTGTGTTTCCTGAATGACGCACTCAATTTCCGGAGCCGCGCTTGTGGCTTGATGTATCTTTGAAGTGATATCGCGAAGCTGCGCCTTCATTGCTTCGAACTCGGTGTCTCGGCTCAAATCCGATGCTGGTGCATTCGCTGACCCGACTGCAGTAGACCTCATAGTTCCGGCCGGATCTCCGTCAGTATTAAGATCGTCAATGATGTTCCGAACTCTAAGAGGAGTTCGTGCTTGACTGAGCTCGGCGATTTGTGCCGCCATCTGACTGAAACGTTCCTCGCTTCTTTTGTTGATGGCCTCAAACTGGGCATTGAATACTTGGAGCAGCAGTTCGGTTCCATAACCTCCTACGGCTGCGGGGGTTTGGCCGGCTACAGTTCCAGCGTTTTCTCCAGGAGTTCCTCCTCCTTGTTCTGTTGGGGCGTTAGCGTTCTCTCCACCGAGAGGGTTTCCTTCTTCGTGAATGTTGGCTTGGTCCGTCATCGCTGATTCAATCTTTCCGAAGTCCGATCTAAAACTTGAGAAATCTGTTTAAGCCCCCTTCCTGGCGCGCCAATTGTTGATATGTAAATATCGACAAGGGACAAAACAGTACTTTAGATCGGAAACTCGGTTTTTATTAGATCGAATCAAGCAAATACAACTGAGTTCAGTTATTTAGATGGACAATAACGAACTAAGACTTAATGCAACTAAGAGTCTAGCGTAATGAGTTCTCAGTCTCTAAGTCTTCTCGGGAATATCTTCTGTTCTCTGGTGTGGATTCGTCTCCCTTTATATATATCCTCTAAGTCGGTCTTCAAGCACATCTTAAGCGATATGGGACCGAGAGAACTTTCCTTTTCTCTCGGTTCCTTCCCTTTTCTCATGTTCGTTTCCTTTTTCAAATAGGAAGCTTTCCTATTCCTGACCGAACTCGGGGAGCTTCTCCGTTCCTTCGAGAAGCTTCTCACCGACCTCGGCTTAATGGGCTGTATTCGGCCCAAGACTTCACTCGGCCCAGTCTTCCCGGTACATTCCTTCGTAAACCGGGCTTACATTTCGCCGATCTTGGTTTGTACGGGAGAAAACCGGAGTGCGGTTTTCACCTCCAACAAACACCTACAGGATAACAATTAAAGACACCCTTCCTTGCTCTTGGTTGAAGCTTACCATCATCAAGATGAAAGTAACACACACAACCGGATCTACACAGATGATTAAAGCTTGGTGATGTCTTAGACCAAACCTCTTCTGGAATCTGACCCTGTATAGCAGACGTAGGAGTTCTGTTGATCAAGTACACAGCTGTGTACACCGCCTCTGCCCAAAATGCCTTAGGTGATCCAGATTCACTCAAGATACTTCTAACCCTTTCAAGTATTGTACGATTCATTCTCTCAACAACACCATATTATTGAGGTGTGTGAGGAATCGTTTTGTGTCTAGCAATACCATTCTCGGTGCAGAAAGCATCAAACTCTTTGTTACAGAACTTTAAGCCGTTGTCAGTCCTCAACTTCTTAACTTTTAACCCTGACTGATTTTCTACTAACAGTTTCCATTCCACAAACTTGTCAAATGCCTGATCCTTAGTCCTCAGAAAGTAGACCCACACTTTCCTAGAAAATTCATCCACCAGACTTAGAAAGTAATGACACTTACCAAGTGACTCTGGAATATTAGGAGATCCCCACAAATCCGCATGTATGTATTCCAAACAGCTCTTGCTTGTGTGAGCTCCGGATTTGTAACTTTGACGATGAGCCTTCCCAAATATACAGCTTTCACAAAACTGGATATTGGAAACTTTTGAACCATCAAGATATCCCTTTTTGACCATGATATCAAGTCCCTTCTGACTCATGTGGCCTAACCTGCAGTGCCACAATTGAGTTTCGTCTTTTTCAGCAACAGAGTGATCTTCCCCAGCTTGACTGTGACCTTGTAGGAAATATAGCTTGTGTGTTCTCTTGGCAGTAAGAACTGTCTTCCCACTCTTCTTGACAATCAAAACCCCATTTTTGGAACTAAAAGTACATCCAAGTTCTTCAAATGATCCCAATGATAAGAGGTTTCTGGAGAAATCTGGAACATATCTTACATTTTTGATCATGACGTTCCCTCCATCTGCAGTTTTTAACCGTATAATTCCAATACCCCTGACTGTGGAAACGGACTCATTAGCCATCCTTACGGACCCAGCTGTGAACTCCTCTAGTTCCACGAACCAGTCTCTTCTTGGAGTCATGTGAAAAGTGCAGCCAGTATCCATGATCCAAATTTCTTTGAAGTCACAAGCCTCAGCTACATTTGCATCTGACACCACCAGAGACTCTATAAACTCAATGCCAGTAACCGCTGATGATTCTCCAGTGACCTGAGCCTTATCTTTTCCCTGACGGCTCGCCTTCTTAGGACAGTCCTTTTTGAAATGCCCCTCTCCACCACAAATCCTGCAGGTGTAAACAGTTCCTTTACCCTTGTTCTTCTTGGACTTGTTGTACTGTTTTCCAGAGTTTGAGTCCTTTGACGTTTTCCCCTTTGCATTTGGATTCGAGTATAACACCTCTCCTTGAGTCTTGACTGACTTCCCACTCGAAAACTCAAGTTGTTTTGAGTGTATGATGTTTATAACACCATCTAAGGTCATGTCAGTCTTGGAGTATTTCATAGTATCACGTAGCTGATCAAATTGCTTTGGCAGCGACATTAGGAGCAAAATTGCTTGATCCTCATCAGGAACTTCTACCATAACATTCCCTAGATCCGTTACTATCCTCAAGAACTCATCAATATTATTCTCTAATGACGAGGACTCATTCATCCTGAAACTATAGAGCTTTTGTTTCAGATACATCCTATTTGGCAAAGCCTTCGACATATACTGCTCATCTAGGATCCTTAACATACCAACCGCAGTTTGTTCCTTGATGATCTTCCTTAGAATCTTATCGGTAACACTAGTAACTATAGTGCTCCGTACCTTTCGTTGTTTCTTGGCCAGATCCGGATCCGTCACTTCGGATTTTAACGTCTCATCCGTATTTTTTCCTTAGGTTGATTCTCCTTTTACTGGAGCCTTGTCTATCCCTGCTTCTTGTGCCTGATACGCCTCTACTAAGCCAAGTAGATCCAAGTTTGCGAACAGTCTCTCCTTCCACATGTTGTAATCGATTACGCCATGGAATTTCTCTATTTGACTTTCGCGGAAGACATCGTGATAGAGATTCACTGGCCAAACGATAGGATGCACGAGCTCGATCCTTCTTGCCCAATATTCCCGACCTAGGGCTCTGATACCACTTGTTGAGAAATCTCGATCTAGCTCAGCTCAGACACCGATTCCACCGAACAACACGAGATCGGAGATTTCCGTTTGCAAGATACACGAACAGAGCAATTTGCAGAAAGTAAATGAGACGAGAGATTTATCCAGTTCGGGAGCAAACCGCTTCCCTACGTCTGGCCGAGGATTCCTCGGAATTCACTAGAACACTCCCCTTACAATCGTCGTCTCTCACTGGAAAACTATGAGATGTAGCTTTCACTCACCGGTAATTACACTATCTCTCTAGTTCTCCCTTTCTCTCTCCTCACAATACAAAAGATTCACTCTCTCGTATACAATTGTTTGTTACAACTTATTTCCAGTCTCTAACCGACTCTTATCCACATCGGAATCCAAAACTGAAACACAGATACGCCTGCGCGTGATCTTCACGCTCTAACGGTCTGATCTTCACTGAGCTGGAAATAGAGTTTTGAGCAGAACGACGACGTGTAACACCGAACCAACTTAAACCCGAGAATCGATAACCTGATCTTGAGCCGGTTCAAATCTAAGCCCCTAAACCGGAAGCTTCTGTTCCATTTAGTGTGTTATATCAACCAATATACAACATATAAGATTCACTTCTCTTATGTAAATCTTCTCGAAGTTCTCGATCAGTGAGACGCTCAAGTTTCTTGGAAAATATAGATAGTTTGTTGGCCAGTGAATGATATTGTTTCCTTAGCCTATCAAGATATTTCCAAGTGTTTTTTCCTCTTTTTCGATTAACAACATTTCTCATAATTTTAAAAAATCATCTTAATATATAGAGAAATATCAAACG